TTCTTTAAGGTACTAGCAGTAATGTTATGACATGCCACCAGAATTCTTTCTCGCAGCTCTTCACTACTTCTGAGTCCAGACTTATAAACTGTCTGCTTCAAGATACCCCATAAAAAGAAATCAAAGGGCGTCAGGTCTGGCGATCTTGCTGGCCAGTGAATAACTGGGCTATTGCGACCTACCCATCTCCCTCTAAACGATGTATCCAACCAAGCGCGCACTTGTCTAGCATTATGAATGCTTGCACCATCCAACTGAAAATGCATTTCCCGCCGTAGCTCGATCGGAGTGTCTTCCAGTGCATCCCATAATTGATTATTGAAGAAATTGAGGAAATTTCCTGTTGCCTTCAAAGAAAAAAGGGCCTATAATTTGTTTCTCTAAAATACCATACCACACGCTGATTTTTCGAGAATACTGCCGTTTACAGTAAATCACCCAGTGGGGGTTTTCGGTGCTCCGATAACGGGAATTTTGTGAGGAAACTATTCCGTTTGTCGTGAAAGTTGCCTCGTCTGTGAATAAGATTGTATTGAGAAAATTTGGATCGTTCAGAAATTCTCCTTGGCACCATAGGCAATATTCCAATCTTCTAATATTATCCCCATTCTCAAGGGTGTGAAGAAATTTTGGTTTAAGTGGTATAACTTCCTCATTCCTCAAATGCCTCCAACTTCTTGATTCTGGAATGCCGAGATCAAGAGAGGACTGTCTAAGACTACTTTTCGGATTATCATTGAAATAATTTGAAATATCTCTATTATCATTTCTTTGCCGCCCACGTCCCCTTATTGCCGAATTCAACACAGTTCCCAAGTTATTGAACATTCTACTAATCCGACTCACCGTCGTGTGGTTGATGGGATCTTGATATTGATGTCTCCCATTGAATTCAATAGCTGCTGCTCTTGATGACCTGGTATCGTCACCAATTATTTTAATGATCTGCTCATTCAACAACAATCGTAATCTGTCAAGTTATTAGAAAATGTGAATATCGCGTAATTTCCATATATAGCCTTCCTGACGGCTAAAAAACTATATGCGTAAGTCTCCCTTATTTTTTATGCCTGAGCGAAAGATAGTTGAAGAAAGATAAATGAAAGTTGCGTTTCCACGGCAGACTTGATCATCATTTTGTGAACTCCTCGAGTGAAAATTGATGAGATCGGTATATTTCTTGGGGTAAGTAATACCTACCATCAGTGAAACTTGATGAAATATTGCTTGTCATACTGAACTCATGGGTATGTATTTCAAGACCTTGATGATTTCTTCTTCATCATGCAATTTGTGATGAAATAACTAGTTGAAGCCTTATCGACAAATGATGAAACCTAAACCAAATTGAACCATCATTATTTTTTCAATTTAAGTACGTGCCTTGGGGAAAAAAACCCAGAAGATATGAAAATTGAATTGAAATATCAATGCGTACGTCACCCTGTGTATAAGTCGTAGAGAAAATTATGAAACAGGTGTTTTTATGTAGTATCTGAAAAAAACATAATGGTTTTATATTTTTTTCATTATTTTCGAACATTAAAAGAATATTGACAATAAATAAATATGATATCAACATGAAAATTTGACCACATGTATTTGAGGAAGTTCTCAACATGTTGAGAATGTCAGTTTTCTGTTGAAAAAATTCCTGATATTACCAACTGATTTTAGGCATTTTCAATTCAATATAGTTGGCCGTGTCGTAGTGCAATCAGAGTGTTAAACACTCAAAAATGTAGAACTCATTTTTAAAATCTGTCAGCGGTTGAGAAAATACCAAGGTGGTGCTGCTCAAAGTGGGACACACTGTATGTCCAAGGTGTTTATGGAAACATTCTTGACAACAATAGGATGTCCACATGAAGTTGTCCAATGGATGTCCAGGCAAGGTAATCCATACGGTGTTCATAATTATGTTCAAGGTGTCCATGGACACAATCTGGACAGCAGTTGGATGTCCACATGAAGATATCCATTGGTTGTCCAGGTTAAGTTATCCATATGGTATCCATTTCAATGCCTCCTCTGATAATATTACTTAAAATAATTGTCTCGAGTATCATCGACGTCGTTTGGCTCCTGCGGTGACCACAGGCCGACAGGGTCAGCCGTGTCAGAGTAGTGAAATCTGTGGTAGTGATGCCTTCCGCCATTGTTATTGTTGATAACGTTGATGCATTGATGAATGTCTAAGGCAACTGAGACTGATAATCTCATCATTTTCAGATATATGTATGTATAGCGTTCTGATGATTTTTGCCGATGTCCGAATTTGTATTGAGTGACATTATTGTAATAATCTGTTCCCTAATATGTTTGCGTGAATGGCGTCGACACTTGCTTGAGTTTAATCCTCATGCCATTTCGGCCAAAGAATAAATAAATCACTTGAAGTGACAAGCCATTCCAGGATGTTGATGTAGATGTCGAAGAATTTCAACTAGTAGAACGAATTTGAAATCGAGTGCCTATTGTGTCAAGTCAACCAAACTGAAATGATGGAGGGAGGTGTCAAAAGAAACAACATATCACACCAATCTGATATAGGATATTAAAGTACCTAGTGTTCTTGTATATATTCACATTTGGAATAAATATAACAATCAGAAACATAGATTCAATTTATTGACCAGATCTTATTCCTATATATAATATGAACGCATACATCCGATCGAATTCACTATATGGATGTCCATAACAGATACCATATGAATGTCCTTGACGGGTACCATATAGATGTCCATGACGGACCATCATACCTATAGATGGCTACAAAGTTCCCAGCGAGCACAAAAACATCTCAGAGATGTTAAAAGTACATGATTTCAAGACATTGAACCTCCACTGTGATGTTCTGTTCACACATGAATAGAACTATTATAGAACAGCCGATGTCCGCAAAAGACGGCAATTATCGAGATGTCCTTAATATGTCACAAAACTACCTTCTCCCTAGTTCTTTTTGAAGCCTTTTCATGGACACAACCAAACATTTTCAACGCGTCTTGCGCACATTGAATCGCTGTAAAAAAACATTTTTGAGGTACTTTTCTGAAGCCTTTTGTCAAAATGAACTTTTGCATTAGGATTCCATTTCCCTTGAATAAAGAAATGCATTAAAAATAGATTGAACATAAAAATGATTTCTTGGTATAAAATTACCTCCTTAATCGGTTTCTGAGTAGTGCTTACTTCACACAGACATATAATTGGAAATAGGTTTCCCAATTTTTGGAATGTTCTCCACAATGCATAATTCTGCAACTGCGGAGAAGCTGTGTATTGATGAATTCGTACTTTTATATATTGATTACACTGAGGCACCGAACAACACATCTTGCATCTGATGGTCATTATTACAAACTAAATAAGTCTTTTAACACAATAAACTTCACCAAATTCCTTTCTGTTCGTTAGCAGCGTGATGTAAGAGCGTGACACGCTGCAAACGCGAATGCCAATCGCGAACAAGAAGAATAAAATCGAAAACAAATCAGAATTCATCGTATTGTGACGTAAGCATCATACGTTGTGGTGGGGCAGACAAAGAAAGGGCACAAAAGAACAAAAACAATACTTTCAATATCCTTCTAAGTCCTCTTTGGGAAGTGCATATTACGCCTCAAATAAACATCCTCATGCCTACATTTCTAAAACATCCCAAAACATCCCAGGGATACCTCTCAGTAGGCAAACAAAGAAATGCCATAGAAAAACACAAACGATACTTCAATATCCTTCAAAGACCTTTTTGGTCAGTGCATATTACGTCTCAAAATGACATCTTCATGCCATCATTTTCAAAACATCCCAAAACATCCCAGGGATGTTTGTGCTCGCTAGGTTGGAAACGCGATATCCTATGGATGTCCATACGTCATTCAGTGTACACAAACTGGATGTCCTATGGATGTCCGACATGTCCAGAGGAGGAGATCCATATAGGACGTCCATTGAATCGAGTTGTGCTATGAGGGTATCATTGAGACGTGAATGGGACAAGAATCATAACGTAACAATGTATACCTTGGTTACTATTAATTAACGTTAGGAGTACGATTTTCTGCACTGTGAGTTATGAAGTATAGCTCTGCTACCACAAAAAGACGTTGGGAGTGAAGAACTCCATTCTGTCGTAGTGAAGATTTTGCCTGTCCCCTATGAAGCCCGAATCCTTGACTGTAATAGTACAAACGAAAGCTATGACAATAAATAAATTTTCTCAGAATGGGTTCCTCGAGTTCCTATAATGATAATTAAATAGCGTTTTGCTGATTGCTGTCCCAACGGTCATCCGCCATTTATATAACGACTATAAGTTTACCTACCTGAATGAATTTCGGATACTAAGTATACCTACATTCATGCATGGTGTACATACATAGTATATAGTGATTTTTCGCATTAAGAGTGTACCTACGTCTAACTATCAAGTTGAAGATAATATTATAAAATACATGATGGAGATCCACTTTCTTATATAATAATTATTTGAAAAGAAAACCAATGTCTGATTGTGAATGACACCATTCAATAAGTACTATAACCTATTGAAACACCATATGCGAACAACACAAGTAAAGCTGTCATGTCACACACAGTAGCTGACACAATAGGTACATGTAACATTCACTGGAATTGAAACGTCTCAACATTCAGGCACAATGATGGCTGGATGCTGACCAATCGCATACCCAGCATCACATCTTCCCTCAACCGCAGCTATTTCATTGGTGACCTTCTCGAATGCGCAGGACAACCGAAACTCATAACTCCTCCCATAGCGTGGCAGTATGTTCGAGATACTAGGTATATGTAATCAGATCAACGCACGACTGAAGGTTGGTGTGGACTTGTATTTTCTGTCTGACTTCAGCTTCGTAACGGTTGATTCAGAAGTGTATTTTCGGTTATATTGTGATAAAAGTGTTGCCGCGTTCAGAACATATGTGTTGGAATACGAGTTCACATGAGAGTGTTCGATAATGATGATGATGGACATAAGTATGTACGGCCATTTTAATCAGCATAGTGCGACGTTCAACTCAGGAGACTCCAATTATTATAATAACTTTCCTAGTGGAACTAATCCGCCTACGCATCAATTCCAGAACTACTATTCAGGCAACTACATTCATGAAGAAACGTATAATTTTGCATCTCCTGATAACGAGGCTATGGATACACCACTTTCTTCTCACGATTCTAATTATTATTCGCCGCATGTTCCCGAGAACCCTATCATAAATACAGATTCTGGATTGAGTTACACAAATCTCGATTATAGCCATCATTCTAGTCATCCAACTAATTTATACAATCAGAGTGATTATGGTGGAAACTATCGAAAATCTCTGGGAGATCCTGTCCAGCAGGAAGATAGTTCAGAAACATCACATCTTCACCCTACTTACATGCCAGAGAACAAATATCACATGAGTGACGAAAGCTACCTTCCATCACCAAATATTATCACATCATCGAGTGCATATATAGAATTTCAACACCTTCATAAATACAAAGAGGAAATGATAACAACAGAGGTCCCTGTTAGACTTCATCAGCACCATGGTATGCACAATTCATGTTCGTCATCGGCTCAACCAGTTTTACCAACTTACAAGTGGATGCAAGTCAAAAGAAATGTTCCTAAACCTCCAGGTGAGTGATAGCATTAGATATAAAATGAATTCATATAGGTAGTAATATTCGATACGGTTTTGTGATATACTACTTTGTAGTGGTATATTATTTGATGAATGTTGTGACTGGTGCCTATTTCAATAATCGATTCCCACTGTGCAAAAACTCGTACTACTTACGTCATTAAATTGTAACCTCGATTGTAACCAAGGTACATTATGACGTTATGATTCTCGTCCCATTCAGGTCTCAAAGACCGTTTCGGAGTTGTTATAGGTATGTCCACCAACATAACAAAATCTCAGTAGGTAACGTTAAATATGATTCCAATCTGTTATGTTAACGGTAACGACTTTGCTCCAGCAAAAGTACTCTCCATTACGGTAACTACGTATTTATAATGAAATGGTGATAATTCATGAAACATTTCTGGAAACTGCTTTCTCATAGCAAAATTATTTCCTCTAGGAGTTACTACAATGCAACCATAATGAATTCATCATTTTTCCTAATGTGTTCCAGGATGTAAGAAGTACTTACATTGTATTATAAAAGGTGTTCCAATAATGTTGCACCGCACTTTGAGTTCCGATTTATGGGTCAAAATATGGAAAAAAAACTCGAAAAAAAATTATATAAACATAATACATGCCCGAACACGACTTATTGCAGAGATTCAATGAGTTCAATCATCATGTAGCTATATTTTGAAAACAAATCATTTTTGGACATACTTGTGAATATATACCTATTCAACTTAATTATACCACCTTCATGATTAACAGAACACTCGACAAAACATGCGAATGTTATTGAATGAAATGAACCAAACAGGAACAGAAAACGACAACCCAATATGAATTGAGAATGAAAAATAGAAACTGAAAAAAAAAATGTTCGCGATGAGCAAGGAAGCGAAATAGTAGGAGAAATAGCGACCTGATTTGCTTTTGTATGAAATGAGCAATCCGAACAAGTGGAGAAAACCTCGCGGACTGCACCTTGAACAAATATAGGAATTGAAAATCAGAAAGGCTGTGCAAGAACATTATTCGAATTTCCTGATGCGTGATGTATTCCCCAGTTAAGCACATGGCGACTATATGACGTCTAAAAGACGACATCACTCACGGCCAGAAGACGTCTTGAATACCATCCAAACAGACGTCTAAATGACGTAAATAAGTCACAGCTATGGATGACGTCACTCTTTAGGTCTCTTGGACGTCAATGCGGTGTTCAATTATGACTTGAAACTGACGCTGTTGACTAGTTTTGGACGTCGTAGCGACGTTCATTCTTCGAGAAATATGCACAAACTTCTCGTTTTGAGGTTTGCTCTAATCATCACTTGAATCATCAATTTCTATATGCACGAATATTTGGAATTAACTAAACTCACTGTATTTTTTATGAAAATTCCGATGTAGAAACCAGAAATGTTTGCTGATTTCATGAAAATATCGATGGGTTCACTGTCGCAGAAGGCACTTTTAGCTTCGACTATCATCAAATGGCGGCCAAAACACTTCTGTATTCTGTCGTCACAGCCACTGTTGTTTCCACAATCATATCGATTTAAATAACAAAAAACAGCACCAAGAAGATCGAATTTCAGTGTATCGAAACAAAATAACAAAACATATTGAATGAGGAACCATCCCGTCAATGCGTAAATCGAACCGCACAAAGCACATAAAGAAACAACAAAACAATAAACAAAATTCTATTAGAGACGGCGCTATGGTTGATGCGACCGATGACGTCCGATGCACCCGGGTTGCCAGATTTCGAACACACAACAGAAACTAGCAAATAATGATATTCGTTTCCAAATATTTCTTGTTTTTCGCTTCATTGGAGAAAACTGAATATCAGTAATGTGCTATCATACTACCGTGTGAAGAATTATTGAATTTGACGGTCATCTGTCATCTGCATGATACGATAACTATTGCTGTATTCAGGAAAATTGAATTCATTATACACTGGTAAAAATTATCACACTATTTATCGTTGGCAATTTATAACCACAATATATAATGTAATTATATTACACTATTGGTTGTGTAAAAAATTATCATAGGTATCATGTATTCTTTTACACTATTTATCTAGTGAAATCAATAATCGAGTGAGTATGATTTCAGTATTAATTATGTTTGTTTACATGAAATTTACTGGAAATAATCAATACGTGTACTGTAAAGGTGCAATGTAGAAATTGTACCTTTGTATATTTCCCACTATCTGTATAGTATAATTGCTCAGTAAAAATACATCGTAATTTCAGGATGTACTATTACAATGTTATTTTACAATGTGAAACTAACAAGTATCTTGATGGGTCACGTGAAAAATTCAGAATTTTATTGAATGTTTCTATTTGTCACAAGACAATGCAAGACATAATGAGTTATTCGATTATAATGATCATATATGGTATTTCAGAATTGATGAATTTGTGCATTTATTTCAAAATTGTTTTATTTCGCCATTGTCATTTCTTCTTTACTCTTCGATCCAGTATCGGGGTGCGGATTATGAGAAACATTCTCTGCATCCATTCAAATGTTCTTTGAAATTTCGATGGACATTACATTAATTCAGAATTGAATATAAGGGTTACGTCACCTTCAGCTCCAGAGATTTTCCATGTTCTTGTTAGTAGATTATTTCGTGGTCTACAAAAACTAGGAGAACTTCTTTCCTTGTATAGGTATCACCCCTCGTATCACCCTGAATGAAAAAAAATCACTGAATTAGTCAGAATCTCTATGATGAAATTCGTTGAACAAGACAACCGTTTTCACAATAAATATTGATCGTTTCTTCAATTTTTCTTCGGAAAATATCGGCCTGCAGTACAATTCTGTTGACTCCTATATATGCTCCTAACCCGCTATAATCTGAATGAGATTTCAAAATGATGCCATCTTAGTTGATTTGGCGACAACAGAATTGTACTTCAGGCCAATATGTTATGTCTGTGCAAATGATATATAAGTTATATTTTCGAATGATATAAACAAAACCTGCATGAATATCATCACCACTTGAGAAGTTCGTTAACGAAAATGAATGGTACTAGTTTCAATAATAAAATAGCATAATTTTATAAGCTTCTCCAAATTTCTTGTAGAATCATTTTACCTCTTATGACATAGTGACCTAATAGCCCGAGAGGATCATAAATTGACATTATTACTTCAAGAACCTCTCTTTCAGTAGGATTCTTCTGTCCTGTTAAAATAATGTTATCAACTATATGAAAACTCAATGGAAAGAATGAAACATCATGATTTGGATCCCATTTCAGACCAAGAATTCTTTCTGATGGTGAAATGTTTTCATTAGTCAACATATTTTTTGTGTTTTTGAGTTCAGGAGGAATTTTGTTAAGTAGTTTCCTAGAATTACTCATCCATCCACATATTTCAAATCCACCTTTTCGATGTATCATGATTACATCTTCCGAGTCCACACTATCTAGATAATCATCCATGTAATGTTTGTATAATATTGCTGCAACAGCTTGAGGAAATTTATCATGGAATTCTAGGGCATTTTTGTTCTTGATATATTGCGCTGAATAAGGAGAAGAAACTGCCCCAAAAATCATTACCTCCATGGCATCACCAGAAGGCTCTTCTTGGTCTTTGGATTCTCGCCAAAAAAATCTTTGTGCTGATTGGTCTTCTCTCCTTATGTGGATTTGATGAAACATTTCCTTTATATCAGCTGAAAATGCAATACGTCTCTGACGAAATTTCATGATGATCCCTATCAGAGAGTTGAACAAGTCCGGTCCTTTCAGCAATAAATCGTTCAAACTTACATTTTCCTGCTTGGCTGCGGCATCAAATACAAATCGTATTTTTCCTGGTTTATTTCCATTTGTAACTGCAAAATGAGGTAGATACCATACTCTTCCATCACATTTTTGAATTTCTTCTTCCATAAGTTTCCTAGCATAACCTTTTTCCGAATATTCTTGTATCTCACTAGCATATTGTTCTGCAAATTTACTGTTTCTCGCCATTTGTTGTTGTTGTAGAGCCATAGGTTTTGTATCTGGGATATTCAAATTATCATCCTTCCAGAGTAATCCTGTTTCCCAGCGGTCATTTTTCCTTCTACTCACTTTTTCTATAAGAGTGGCAGATCTTCCCTCCTCTTTGGACAGTTTATTTTCTGCAATTTTTACTCCAAGAGACTCTGTGGAGAAAAAGTATTTCACCATGTTATGCAATTCATCAGATTCTTCCAAACTTTGATGTTTGATATGCAGAACAATTGTGTCATCAATCCTTCCCCGAAACTGTTGGATATTTCCATGAATAATCCATCCCAGTTGTGTTCTTGATGAAGCTGGTGAATTCTTAGGTCCTTCCATAACTTCCCTACTTGTTATCAAGTCCCAGCGATCTTGACCTATCAATAACTGGGGAATGGCATTCGTATAGCTTGTGAAATCGATGTTTTCAAGGTGTTTTCATTTGTCTCTGAATAACTTGGCATCAACAGTCTGTACTGGTAAATCCATATTCTTCAGAGTATAAACATAATCAAGAATATACTCTTTCTTATCTTGACCAGATACAACGAAGCATAGTTTCTGAGACACAAAGTTTTTCCTAGATTCTTCATCGGTCCATCTGAGGTTCAACGTCGTTTTTTCTCCTTCTAGACCTATCTTAAGGGCAAAATCTTTGTCAATCAGTGTAATAGTAGAAGCTTCATCAAATAGTGCAAATGTGTTCACCTCCATGCCTTCATTCTTGATAGTTATCGGTGCAATTCTTAGGAGAACTTCATTCCCATATGACTTTCTAGTATGTGCTACCAACTCATCTCTAGTTTCTTCTTCCTTTATACCGATCATATAGCATCGAATATCTTCACATCCGACAGCCAATATGAGATTCCCTCATCCGATTTGAAGGAAAACCAAAATCCTGAATCAGCCAAGCAAGATACTGACATACAACTTTTTTGCGTGGAATGTTTCGAGGATCACAGTAAA